ATGGATATATATTATAATAATTTCTTTTAAGTATAATATATGATGTATACATATTTATATAAAGTTTTTTTTCTTTTTTTGAAATGATATGGAATGACAGTAATAAGTATCTTTGACTCTTTGTTATTGCTACTTAACATTTTCCCTTCAAAATAGTCCCACCATTATAAGAGAGAAAACAAAAGGCACACTTATTTATTCAAAGGACTTCAAAGACTATCTTTAGGGATTGTTTGGTTCAAAATCTAGGTTATCTTAATAGTATAGTTTAATATTATAATTAAGATAGATACTTTCGTCTTTTACATAAAACACATAATTTTGGTATATTTTTTTTTCGTTTTGACGTAACTGGTAAAGTTATTTTCATCTGATTAGAAGGTCACAGGTTACATTCATGAAGTTGCATAAACAAACTTTTGCAAAAATGCAGAGTAAGACTGTGTAGAATAGACTCTTATGGTCTGATTCTTCTCTTTAGCCAAACGACCCCTAATTGTAATAAGTTGATTGGCAATATAATTTGAATGGTCATCATTCAATCAATCCCAAAACAAACAAGTAATTTTCAAGATTTCAAGTGGACTATAATTTTACATAATATTGATCAAACAAATTAACTAACATGGCCTACTTAAATGATCATTTTTTTGTTATAATTGATGCATGAAAAAACCCTATAATCATTTCGATTGTGGGTGCATGATTGATAACAACTTCTGATATTAATTGAGAAAAATCATTTTTAATTATTTTTTTTCAATTTAAATAGAGGCAATGATGAAAAATGTTTGACCATTTTTTGCTTTAAGTTTACTCCTTTCCTCGTGTGGTCTACTCAATCATGATTTTTTTTTTCTGAGCTAAATTAAAAGTTATTTTCACTTTAGAATTTTTAGATAATATATAAATATTTCATGCTAGGATAAAATTTCATCATTAGAATAGGGACAAATAAGCCCAAAACACAAGAAGAAAATGGACATTATTAATGGATTGTAATTAATCAGCCTTATTTGCACAAGATAATGATCCAAGGCACCAAAAGGGAATTATGAAATTCCATTCTACAATTCCTTAATTTTGCAAACTCTAAAACTAAATCTGTGTTTGGACATTCGATATGAAGTCATAATTTGGATATATAATTTGAAATTATGATTTTAAATCCTCTAATAGCATGATTTGGATTTTCAATTAATTTTTCTAAAATGTAAAACTTGGTCAACAAGTTTATATTTTGTAAAAAACAAATAAGTTATTTTAAATGTTACCAAAAAAAGACTCATGCATTGATCGTACTATCTGTAATGATTATATTAAAGAATAATTAGTTATCAGTATTGTTGAGTGTTGATTAGGGGATCTTTATAATATTATGTATATTTGAAAGTTATAATAAAAAATGTTTATCTATATAAGAAACATCGACATAAATGATTTATCAATATGGCGTCTTAGGATATTTCAATATGTTGTTTATGAACTATGGATATACAAACAAAACTTTGACTACATATTAATTTAATTTCATACGCATGTTCAAACGCAAGCTTAACCTATGTGATGGTATTTGGGCTAAAAAAGTTGGGCCGAAGAAGTAGAGTAGAGGTTAAAGTTGGACTTGTTGGATTCTGAATAAGTAAGGCTAGGTCCTGAATTTGGGCTTTATTATTTGTTGGGCTCAAGGAATGGCCCATTATATAGGTCATATACAGCAACTCAACAAGAAGTTATTGGGCCCGGCCCAAGACAAAAGTAGTTGGCTCTAAGTAACGGTGTATCGTTTTACAATCCCACATAAGTAAAATGTGTAGTACAATAAGTTATGAGTTAATTTATATATTATTGCACGTATGGTAGAATATTGAATAACTAAAGAGACTTTGTATAATTAATACTTGCATTACTAATACCTATGGATTGCATTCTTCTAACCAACAATCAAAATACCTTCTTTTTTTTCGCGAATAACAATGTTGTTTAGAACAATTTACATGCACCTCGACTATTTCATCAGATACTTATCATCTTCAATAGTGCAATCTCCAATATTTTGTATTCGCTTCATTAACTATTAAACCACACCCTTAGATGATACCGTTTTCTAACGTATAGTCCATTAGAAAAGGTACACAACTTCCTATAAATAATTTATATCTTTGTCTCTATTTTCTTTTAAAATAATTACTTATAATAAATAGTTTTTTTCTTGTAATGGGAAGAGTATATTTTTTTTTTCTTTTCTTATGCATGATTTTTGCAGATGTTCATGCAAAGTTGGCAGGCCATATAAAACGGGCTAAGCCCATACTTTCTTAGCTGGACTTTTTTTGTCAACATTAGAAATAAGGAAAAACTACGACATACTTCACTATCATATATATTAGGAAAAATTACTTAAGTACACAACATTTCTTTATATATTCTCAATATTTTCCTACTCTTTTACTAAAATACAAAAATCCCTTATTTTTCCCCAATTCAACTTAACCGGATACTTTATTAGTTTAAGTATCCGCGCGTTATTAATTAAAGTATCCGCGCTGCTATATTATGCATTCGCCCGTTAATTAAGTATCCGTGCTGCTAACAACTTAATAATTTAAGTATCCGCTCGCTATTAATTAAAGTATCTGCGCTGCTATATTATGCATCCGCCCGTTAATTAAGTATCCGTGCTGCTAACAACTTAATAATTTAAGTATCCGCCCGTTATTAATTAAAGTATCTGCGCTACTATATTAAGTATCCACACTGCTATATTATGTATCCGAAAAACACTAAAAAAAGGGATTTTTGGTAATTAATGAAAGAGTAGGGAAAGGAAGTAATTTCTTTCTTATACTATGTCATTTGCCTAATTTTTACTATATATTATTATTTTCTATACTTTAAAAAAAAAGCATCTTATACTTAAATGTATGTATTTTTGCTACCAAATACATAAAAATAGGGAGAGAGCGAGTGAGATTGGGGAGGGAAGCGAGTGAGATTCATATGTATCCAAGTACATGTGAATCACACTATATACATGTATTTGCATGTATCCGGAGTGATTCACATATATCTGAGATACTAGCAACATGAGAGAGTGGCGAGAGAGCGAGATGAGAGGGAGGCGATCGATATTTGCTATGTAAACTAAATACATGCAAATCCACTTGAATACAATGTATCAAAAAACAAATTACATCTTTTGACCTCATGTATCCGAGATACATATATCTGGACGTATATGGAGGCATAAAAATTTGATAAGATACGTAATATTACAAATTATAGTGTCTAAGTAATTATCTCCTTCTCAATAAATATTTTTTTTATAAAAAACATGATGGCCATTTTTCGGACCGATAATTGAAAAATAACTAAATTTTAATGCAAAAATAAAATTTGAAAAAAAATATAGATACTTAAAACACGAAAATCCAACATAATATATTGGATTTTGAGACTTTTGCATGTAAAATTCTAGCATAGTGGAGTTCAACGACTCCTTGTATGTGAATTTCAAGAAGGAGTTTAAACTTTTAGAAGTTAAATTCTCGAATATTATACTGAAAATCCAATAAATAAATATAAGAACACAAACAAAATATGACTTATCATGATTTTTCATCCAAGAAAAATAAAGGATCCAAAATATAATTTTATTTTAAACAAATGGAAATCAGTTATATACCACAATTTATAATTTTAATCAGCTCACCGATATATGATGTAGTATGCATGATTGCTAGTTTAATTTCACAAGAATTGATATTTATTTATTTAAAGAAGAAATTGGAAATCCAATATGTCATCTGCCTCCATTTTCTTAATGCATTATGTCATTTCCTTTCGTTCCTCCCTCTAATTTTCAACAAGATATCTCGTATTCGAGTTCTAGGAATAAATTAACACCACCACTTAATTTAAACAAATTAATAACAAATACTATTACAGATTTCAATATGAATAATTGTGGTGGGAGCATTAAGACTTTTCTGTCCTTAAAAGAGGTATCGAGTTCAAATTCTGAAAATGAAAAAAATACTTATTAAGAGAGTCACCCTAGAAACGAGCCTTATAATGCTTGAATGTGAATACGATATTATATCTGATGTGAAAATAGAAAGCGATTTTCGATAAATCAATAAAAAGAAGAAAAATCCTATAATCCAATTGGTTAGACTGCTTATTTTTGGGTTTTCATTAGCAAAGCATCTTTTGACATATTGGTGATATATTGGGACCTACAAATTTCATTATTTTCTCTAATTCCCCTAAGCAAAAATGTATAAAAACCCATTAAAAACAACCCCAAGAAACCCTCCGATCATTTTGTACTCTCATTTTCCCACTCACCCCTTCACACATGCCACTATACGTATCACCTCGCACAATAATAAAGTCTGAAAATTCGTTAAGAATATTTAAATTTTAGTATGAATATAAAATAATATTTAACCTATATAATTCATAAATTTCTCGATAAAAGATGTTTCTTTTGTTTCTTATCCGGTGTTTGGTACCAACATTGGAGTCCGAATAAAGCGTTCTCTAACAAAGACGACTTTGCACTCAGTGAAACTCGAAATCGAACTCAAGACCTCTATATAAGAATAAAGAAATACTTACTTCTCCACCGCAATCACGATTGATCAACAAAAGATGTTTAACTGACCACTTTTTACTATACGTAACTACGCCACACTACTCACACGTGCCACTACTCACACCATATCTCTCCATCTCTTTTTTCTTTTCTTTATATCCTAGTGGTCTCATATAGTCCTCTCTTATGTTGTGTGGTGCAACAAATAAAAGTTAGTGAGAGAAAAAACCCCAACTTTAAGAGAGAGAAACAAATTCTCAAACACAAAATTCTGCACAAATATTTCTTTCAAGATCAACCTTTTGAAATATAATTTATTTATTTTTGGTATTTATACCCAAAAATATACACATAGTAGAAAATTATTTAGTTAATTTCTTCCCTTTTTTTTTCCTTTTTTTTTTTTGGTTTGTAATAATGAGAATAAGGAAACGTTTTCCTCCTCCATCAGATCCCCAACTAAACACCAAAAATGAATCTCTACCGTCTGATCTTCCAAATCTGAGTCTTCCACAGCCGTCTGATCAACCGGCGACCGTCACCGGAGCTAAAACAACCACCAGCTGGGTTCTCTTTGGTGGCAACAACAATAATCCACCAAAAATAGAACAAAAGGTTAGTTTTAAATTTAATTAATAAATAGTTCGACTTGCAAAAATTTTGCTATTATTATTACCATACTTTTTGTTTGCATCTATGATACAACGACTGTAAAGTAATATATTCAGTGTAATTTTATAAATAGAGTCTGTATGAAATGTGTGCAGACTTTATTTCTACTTTTATGAATGTAGTAGGATTGTTTTTGATGGACGATCGACTAGAGAAAAAAATATGTATAGTTTTGCATCAATGATGTATAGTAGTATTTTATTTTTTTAATTTTTTGGTGCTAATTTTTGTGATTTAATTTGATTTTGTAGGATATGGAAGATGAAGATGGGAAATTATGGAGAGAGAAAAAAGAGATTATTGATAGTAATATTGACAATGATCACAAGTAAGAATAATATTAATGCATAAAAAGAATTGTTCCATTTAATTCTTATTTTTTTTTCACGAAAAAAAAAGGTGAATGATAATAATAGAAGAAATTAAACAAGAAATGATAATAATACTGTAACTAGAAAAATACTGTTTGGTTTTTATTCTCATCCAATGATTTAATTCCTCATCTCATCCTGATTATTTTTATTTTTTTCATATTGTTTTTTTGTTTTAATTTATAATGGTCCCCATTTATATTTTTCAAAACATATCACACGGGAAAATTCTGAATGTTGCACTGTGCACCTTTTTTTTTTATTTTTATATTATATAGTTTGGTAATTAACAAACTATTTTTTGTTTTTGTTCTTCTTGTTGTTGCTTCTTCAGGAAAGAATTAAGCTTTTTGAGTACAACACAAATAGGTTCTTTGATTCATCAACCATCATCATCTTCTGATCTAGGTAAGTTGCTCCGACTTTTCAAAAAGATTATATGTTGCTGCTATTCTTCAAAAACATATTGCATGTTGGATCTTTTAAAAATAGTTTATTTTTGAAGGTTACATTGGTGCAACGATATTTTTGAAGATTCCAACAACATAGCTAAAATCAAGACTCATATATCGCAACATCCCATGTAGTTAATTGCTCCGACTCTTCAAAGTATATTACGTGTTGGGTCCTTTAAAAATAGTGTATTTTTTAAGATTTCGACATAGGTGCAATAATATTTTTGGAGATTCTAGCAACATAGCTAAAATCAAGACTCATATATCCCAATATCCAATGACGTTGCTCTGACTCTTAAAAAAATATTGTGTGTTAGGTCCTCCAAAAATAGTACTATATTTTTTAAAATGTTTTTGATACGGGTGCAATGATATTTTTGAAGATTCTAGCAACATAGCTAAAAACAAGACTCATATATCCAGAATTCTATGTTGATTAGTTGACTCTCCAAAAATATTGTCATGTATGATCGAGCCCTCCAAAAGTACTACCAAGATGTTAAGATATTTGGGCTTCTAGTAGAGTCATTCATTAATGATTTGAGATCGTGATTTTTCGAAGGAAGTGTAACCATGTTTTTGGAGAGTCTAGCAACATAAACAAAATTGAGATTCATATATACAATATATTGTAGTATATTTTTAATTTTATCATTAATCTTTTATCATATGCTATGATATTGAACGTGTACATGCACATATATATATAATAGATGGTAGATGGTGTGAAGAAGATCATAAGGTAATTCCATTGAAAAAGAGGTCAAGAGACAACTATCATCACCATCACCACCATGACACAAGTAATATTAACACGATGAAATCGAAGACAAACAAGAAATGTCCACAAGAAAATGGTAACGAGGGGGAGCAAGAACACGAGGAACATTATCAACGAATTAATAGTGATCATAAAGTTGAGCACGTAAACAAGAAGAACAAAAGAGGAAGTGTTATATTAGAGGGATCAAGGTGTAGTCGTGTTAATGGGAGAGGATGGAGATGTTGTCAACAAACCCTTGTGGGATATTCATTATGTGAACATCATTTGGGTAAAGGAAGACTTAGAAGCATGAATAGTACTACAGTTCGAAACTCGATGAATATTAAGAAAAAGAAGAAGAAAGTAGAAGAAAAGGATAAGGAATCGTACGCGTTGATAAATGATCATGAATATTATGGTATTGATGATGATAATAATGATGATGACGATGACAAGAAAAAGACGAAGAACAAGAAGATGAAGAAGCTTGGAATGGTGAAAGCTAGATCTTTGAGTAGTCTACTCGGTCAAACGGACAATGCAGTTGCAATGATGATAGTTGATAATGATAATAAAAACGAGTAACAAATTATGAAGATGTAGATCTGATATTATTTCACGTACTTATAGATGTTATGGCTAGCGTTCGTGTCAGATCTTTCAAAATGTTATGCTTATGCAATTATATATGTTAAGGGTTCAACATGCATGAGTGCATGTGACATTTATATTATTATTGAAGAATTTGAGTAACATAGCTAGTTGGAATTAGTTTTTTTTTTGTCCAATTTAGCTAAGACAGTTTGCTCATATAATATGTTTCTTTAATTGCATGAATTTTGTTCATTTGCTTTTTATTTAATTTAATTTGCTGATCACCTTTTAATTTATTTTCTATACTCTTTTGGGAGCTATTCTTGAGTTTAGGTTTATGCTGGCAACAAGTTAGCCACCACATTTGTGATTCCTTATTGTTATTAAAATAATAATTCTAATTAATACTAACACACAATAATAACAATAACTTTATTGTATTTTATCATCAATAAAGGAAAGAAATGTGCAGATAGTTAGTTGCTCACATGTGATGAATATTTTTTATACTATCGTCAATTTGATTTGTGGAAAAATTATATTCCAGTTCTCAAGTTAATTCTTGAAGTAACTCTATTATATTGTATATATCTTTTGATATTTCAAATTCAATGATGGAAATGAATTTCGAATAAGTAAGAGATAAATGGTTAAAAATACGAACTATTTTTTTTTCAAGTTCCACATTTCAATTACCAGTTGTATTTTCTTTTCCTATATGAACTATCATAGTCTATAAATCTATATATGTATTAAAACACATCTTCTTGAGTAGATCGATGGTGAAAGTTTATGCAGGAAACGACCAATAGTAGGGCTAATCATCTTTGAAGTGTGTTTTCATACATAGACGGTGATAGTTCAAGTAGAAAAATAGCACAACTGATAGTTAAAGTATGAAATTCGCAAAAAAATAATAGTTTTAGATGTATTTATAAAAGATTTAATTTAACCTCCATATGGACAACTAAAAAACATCTGTTTTATTCCAGAATATTTGTCATCATATTATAAAAAAAAATAAAAAATTGTGCATGTGTTTTCTCAATTTAAAAACTTAAAACACTTTTTTTTTTGTCTCCACCTGCGTTGGAAGGAAATGAAGATGAGGGTTTTCATCTTATTTTAAACAATATATTAGTATCTCTTTTGTAATGACCTAGCTACTAGTTAATGGCAAATGGCATAATCAAGCTTAGTCAAACATTTTGACTTTTTAGAACCTTGATCATCAAATCGACTTATATTGATATCTCTCTTCATCTACGTGGTCTAAGAATTTAATTTTGCTATACGTCCGAGTCTTCTTCCATCGGTAGTTAGAAGCAGAACTGAAACTGGATATGACTGAAGGAAAGGTTATATAGGTACAATAGGAGGGTGCAGTTAAGCATGTAAACGAAGACTCTCTTTATATAGACCTAGCTAATCCAGCTATATCTAATTATACTTTGGCATATGAGGTCAACTTGAAAGAATAGTGTGTACATAATATTACGTAGATATTTTGAGAGATTACGCTAAGTATATATTGTTGTTGTTGGTTTGGAAAGTGGACTTATCAAAGATTAAAAGGACAAACAGATGCATGGGGCAACTAGTAAATAAAACTAAAGAGAGAAAATAACAAAAGTTAACATTCATATTCTTCATCCCCAATTTTTATTATACCAATGATTTGTAGATTTTTCGAGACAATTAATTAATTACGATCCTTTGTAGTTTCACGCACAATAGTGCATTTGTAACTAATTGTAAGTCAACACAAAACATGTCCAAATAATTTTAAGATGCATTTTCTCACATTTTGTTTTCAAAATGTACTACTTGCATCTTCTAGCAAATATGATCATTTTCTTATTTCGAAGTAAGCCTATGAGTTAACTTCAAAGCTTAGTAGCTAAAGTGTACGTACTTGGGTGTAAGGGGTACACGTATATAAGCTACTTAGTGGAATTAGACCATTCAACTTGCCATCTACACTCTCCTAAGGTGCGATCGTAGTATATTCATGACTATACACATTCATTTTTCTCTACGTACTTGAGCCGCCCAACAACATTCACTATCATATAACATTAATTGTCCTTATAAAATACATAAAAAAATTTTACTAAGTTCCTAAAAATAAGACATGATGTTATATAAAGTTAAAATGTCTAGCTAGCTGTTTTCATGCTGCAAAGCAACCAATTAATAATATTATTTGCTTTGTGGATAGCAGTTAATTAAGATGATGGCATCCAATAGGATTCCAACTACAATACAAGGAAGGATCCATATATCTATTGGAAGTCTGAGAATAAGGACCCCATATATATATATATAAAACATCAAAACAAAAAAGTGGTAAAATAATGGGGTCACAATATATAATTAACTATGAGATAAGCTTAGCTTGCATGAATTGATGACTTATCACACATATGTGAGCAAAGAATTGTTTTCCAAAATGGGACCTTTATTTTTGTTGGCCTTTCATATCCCCCACCTACCCATTCATTCACATGCTAACTAGATAGTGAAATAAATATATAGTTTGATTATATTTTAATTTTTTTAAATGACAAGTATTTTGGGTTAAATATTTTTAATAATCATGACAAGATCGATTCAAAAGAAAAGAGGAAAGGAGATTACAACTTACAAGTAGGTGTGGAGCTAGACTTCGAGTGTGGATTCGTTCGAATTCAATAAATTTTGTTTAAATAGTGTATTTGAATTAAAAAGTTTAAAAAATTCAATTATTTAACTTGAAGTTGATCGTTATAAAATTTAGAAATCATAAAATTAAAATTTTAACTTCGCCTTTGATTATAATTAAGGTGTTAATTGGCCCCTCATCAAATACTACATTGTTTTGGTTCCAATTAAGGAAAACTTCTTAAGAAATCTAATAGAGAGAAAGTGGGATAATATGTGTTTAGTGATTGTAACCCAAATAGGGTTATACATAATTAATTAGTGAAGAATGCAGTCCTCTAACAAAAATTACAAATTAATATAACACGTTGAAAATCAATTGATACTTTTTCATGGAAATTTGGATCGTTATTTTTCGAATATACATAAGATAAACTTTATATCAGTACAATTAGTATAATAGTCCATAAATTATGAAAGAGAGATAAATTACATTAGATAAGTCTCATGCGACAAGTTTGATCAAAAAATATTCAGGCATTTCATTCGAATTAAAATTTAAATTTCTCCTTTGAAAGATCACCTGCTCAACTAACTCGATCACTCTTACATATAATAAATACATACTTTTTAGTATATGATATATTATACTTTAAGTCCTAATATAAACACCCAATACGAAGAAAAAGAAATTTTTTTTTGACCAAACCGACTATTAATTGCACCTACAAATCTGAGTTGTGATTCTATCGATATTACTGTATATAATATATTTATATAAATAAATTTTAAAAATTGAATATAATATATCCCGGTTTACAATAATTGAATTATTAGAAAAGGGGAAAAAATAATAAAGTAAAAGATTTATCTTTTGGTTGATCAGAAAATTTTCACTATATCGGAATTGAAATCTAATTTCACCAATAATTTTGGGGGCACACAAATCAAAGTCTGCTTCGATCAACGCAAAATCCTAGAGGTAAAAAAAATCTGATTTTTGTTTCAATTTTCATTGATTTTCATTCGATTCCTTCAAAATTTCAACTTTAATTCTTGTTTTTCCGATATTGCTCGTTTTTATTGACCTAAGATCCATTTTTGAGCTGAAAATGACCCGTTTATGAAGAACTCAGAAAAACACCGACATTTTTAGGTGTGCATAGATTTTTTTTGACTCTTTTTACTTATTTGGGTTTGTTATCTGCATATGGGTGGGTGTTGTTAGAGATCGAGGTAGATCGAGGAAGAATTGAGGAGAGGTAATTAGACAGGACGTGATATGTTTAGCTTACCGAGGATATGATCTAGATACGAGAGTATGATGGTCGAAGATTAGGGTAGGTGTAGTTAGATAAGTTTGAAGAGAGGTCGAGGTAGATTGAGGAGAGGTAATTAGATAGGACGTGATATGTTTAGCTTACTGAGGATATGATTCTAGATAGGAGAGTATGATGGTCGAAGATTAGGGTAGGTGTAGTTAGATAGGTTTGAAGAGAGGTCGAGGTTGATTGAGGAGAGGTAATTAGATAGGACGTGATATGTTTAGCTTACCAAGGATATGATTTTAGATAGGAGAGTATGATGGTAGAAGATTAGGGTAGGTGTAGTTAGATAGGTTTGAAGAGAGGTTGAGGTAGATTGAGGAGAGGTAATTAGATAGGACGTGATATGTTTAGTTTTCCGAGGATATAATTCTAGCTAGGAGAGTGTGGAGGTCGAAGATCAGGGTAGATGATTAGTAAGTAGTAGAGTGTTTTCTCTCTTCATAGTGGTAAGAGTAGGGTTCTAGTGTGGAGCATCTATTTGTCCCTTTTATCAGTATTATTACTATTATTCTAGCATTATCTTATGCTTTGATTTTATTTAGTGTTGTTGTTTCTTTTTCTTTGATTATCTTTAGTACTTGTAATGTCAGTGCTTTTACTCTCACATTTTTCTCCAAATGATTTTCTTGAACCAAGAGTTTATCGGAAATAGCTTCTCAACCTCACAAAGGTAGGGGTAAAGTTTGTGTACATCCGCTCTCCCTAGACTCCACTTGTGGGAATATACTAGGGTGTTGTTATTGTTGTGGTTTGTTTATACTAGTTTTAGTTTCAGACTACCACTGGGGAATGTTGTTGATAGATTCAATTGGCATTTTGATTTGATGCTTATTGGATTTTAAAGTGAGAACTGATTTTTCTTTTCCTCTAATTCTGTCTTAACATTTTAAGCCGCATAATAGTGAGTGCTAAAGTTCCTGAGTTCGTTTATTGCACAGACAGTGATGGATGATCCATTTTCTGTGGAATTTTATGACATTTGTTACAGTATGTTGTCTAAATTTAAGTTAATAAAGATAATTTTTTTAACATCCTATATTTCTTCAAACTTGATTTGCAATTCGCATTATTTTCGTTGTCACAAAGTAGAGCCGTTTTTCCTTGGTGACGAGTTGAAGTAGCAAAAGTAAAATAGATAACTCTTTTAGAAAGGAGAAAGAAGGACCTTTTAAGTACTATGAGAGTTATAGGTGAATGAGGGTAGAGATTTGTTGATCTCTATTGAGGATTAAACTAGAAATGTCCATGTGAGGTGGCACTCCTTGCCTTTGAATTTTTTTACCAAGGTATTGAGTCTGCAGTGTTTGAAGCCAGATGGCACACTTAAGGTAGAAGAAGCTTTTTAACTACATTATGTAGACTGAAACAGAATAAAAAGCAATAGCTAGTTCTTGGTCAGAATTCTGCTCTTAAGTCATCACCTCACCTGTTTCCTGCAAAGTTTTGTTGACAAAGCATGTGCACTTTCTTTGTTGAACTGCTGGATTTGTGTCTTTTCAGTTGTTGTCTGATCTGCGGTCTTTTTCTATCAAAAGATATGAATAACTTGTAGCATTTACAGGGAATTTATCAAGATGATCCCGGTTTGCCCTTTTGCTGGAGCTTCCAGACCCGATGATGCAACTCTTAATAAACCTTATGACGAAAATAAACAACAGGCTCAGCCTAAAAAAGAGTCTGGAGAAGCTGCCACGGTGTCACCTAAGTGCCCCTTTGGATATGATTCCACTCTTAAGAAACCTTGTGACGACCAAAATAAACAACAGGATGGCCAGGAGAGCAAGCCTAAACAAGACTCTGGAGAATCTGCAACTGTGTCACCTAAGTGCCCCTTTGGATATGATGGCCAGGAGAGCAAGCCTAAACAAGACTCTGGAGAATCTGCGACAATGTCACCTAAGTGCCCCTTTGGTTATGATTCTCAAGCATTTAAACTGGGTCCTTTTAGCTGCATGATATGTCAGGCACTTCTTTATGATAGCAGCAGATGTGTGCCCTGTTCACATGTATTCTGCAAGTAAGTGTAAATTAATAACTCTTTTATGGTCTTTCTACTCCCACATACACCACTCTCCCGTTTTAAAAGCAAGAATAAGGGTAAAAACAAGATTCTTCTGGACATTTTTAAGTAGTACATCTTTTTGGTAAACAGGGCATGTCTCTCCCGCTTTAAGGACTGTCCATTATGTGGTGCTGATATTGAAAAGATTGAGGCCGATATGAATCTTCAGAATGTTGTTGATCGCTTTATTGAAGGGCATGCAAGGGTTAAGAGGTCTAATAATGAGCAAGAAGATATAGTGGAAAAGAAAACTGTTATATATGAGGATGCGTCTTTGGAGCGGGGAGCTTTCCTGGTTCAACAAGCCATGCGGGTATGTTTTCTATAAATCTCACTAGTCTCTCGTGCAGAAATTGTCCTCTACTTCTCAGACTGACTTAGCTGATTCATATTGGCATCTCTCTTTCTGGTATAATCTGAGACTAGCTAGTGAATCACATTTCAGGGTTTACACTAACTTTTGGCTTAACTTGCAGGCTTTTCGTGCCAATAATATTGATAGTGCAAAATCAAGATTTACTATGTGTGCAGATGACATCCGAGAACAGCTTCAGAGAATGGGGAATACATCAGAGTTGTGCTCACAGCTTGGAGCTGTTCTTGGTATGCTTGGTGACTGCAGGTGTGTCTCTATCAAAGTCTCTTCTTGAATGAAAAATATGTCATTCCCTTGGTCATTTACAAGTGTTATCAATGATATTAAGTATTTATTTTTTAAAGTGATTACAGAAGTTTTGGACATTTAGTTTGTTAAAAGAAATAACTTGAGCTATACTGTAGTCGAGCTACAGGAGATGCTGTATCTGCAGTTGCTTACTTTGAAGAGAGTGTCAATTTCCTTTTGAAAGTACCCAAAGATGATGTAGAGGTAACTGTTAATGATGGCACACAAACACACACATGTATTGTATTTACATATGTATGTATCTAATATATTTTTGTCAACTAAGCAGTACACCTAATTTGATTTTGCTATAAGCTATGATGATATAATGCATATCTTTTCATATATGAGTGTGCTTTCTTTAATTCCTTAAAAAATCTTTGCAGATCACACATACACTTTCTGTTTCACTAAACAAAATTGGAGATCTTAAATACTATGCCGGTGATTTGCAAGCTGCTAGATCACATTATTTTCGGGCGTTGGATGTTCGCCGCAATGCCATCAAGCAACAGTCTGTGCCATCTCAGGTTTGTGTACCTTTCCTAATCTGATGAACATCACTATTGGCATTGCTATTTGTTGGAAGTATATAAATTTATGGCAACGGTCCTGTCAAAGAACCTGTGGCATCTTGATATCTAAAAGAATCATCCCCTTACCCTGAATGTGTGGCATCCTTGGCACATGTAGATTTTTCATTATTTTTCATCTTGTGTTTAAACGCTGATGAGTTCCACATTTTACCCTCAATTATTTTAACATTTGTCTATGGATAAGATGTTGCTGATGGTTTCTGGTGCTGAGGGGTGATGGATCAACATTTTACCCCCGATTACCCATTTTGTCATCTCTACTTTTGCCTAAAGCTGTGTGTGGCTTAGGCTCACGTCATAGGTCCGAACAAACAGAAACCTAGTGTTTAAGTGGAGAAGGGTAGAGTAGCTGGCTATTATCCATGCGCAACTGGGCGGTCCTCCAGGCATTTTTAGGTTAGACAACGAACTGGCCGGCCCTCTGGGGACTTTTCGGTTATAAAACAAAATTTTCTTTTTTTGCCTTAAAAGCCTTGATGCTTGATCCGTATGCTGGTAGAAACTTTTGAAATCGCTATTTTCGGATCTTGGACCAGAGTCCATACACATAATGCTGGCATGCTCATACAGAGAAGACTTGCTCTGCTGTTTATGTTTTAGATCTTATGGGGAAGACATTTCTCTTTCCAAATTAAATTAAGCTGAATTTTGGGCAACGTATACATCTACTATGCTCAAAACAAAAGAGTACAGCTAACTTTAAGCAACTTATACATGCATACTGATTTTGATGTTCTTTTGTCCTACATCACACCTCTTGGGGTGCGGCTCTTCCCTGGACCCTACTGATGGGGATGCTTTGTGCACTGGGCTGCCCTTTTTTGTTCAGCACGTCTCATTTTTCTTTTATTGATATTCAAAGCATTGGCCTCTCCTGCTTCATATAATTCTCTTCCGTCACTCCAGATAGTCGATGTGGCCATTTCCTTAGCCAAAGTTGCTGATATTGATCGAAATCTCGGTGATGAGGATACCGCAGTTGAAGGATTTCAAGAAGGCATAAAGTTACTGCAATCCCTTGAACTAAAACCTGAAGAAGTTAGCCTTGAACAACGGGTAATTCTCATCTACCTCTTATGTTATTTTATACTTCACTGGTGTATTTTCGTTATCCTGCAGACCTGATTTGGTCCCGTGTCTTCTTGCAGCGGCTATCAGTGCTCGAGTTCCTCAACAGCCAACTTGAAAAGAAAGAAACTTGACTCAGCTGCCCGAATGAAGTCTTTACCTACATAGTTAAGGACGAATAAGAACAATGTGTGTTATCATATAGTTTGGTGTAAACACTAGATGCTCGGTTCAGAGGCAACCTCAGATAAACTTCGGTGTAATCGCCGTAGAATAAGTGAGATTTTCAAAAGTAATATGCTGTGGCAAGTCAATATAGTCCTATGTTCCAAAATTTCAGTGTCTTGTGCATGTACCTCTTAGTACTTTTTAAGTATCTCTACAATTTCAGTATCCTTACCACAAGACACAAGTTGACAATATTATTAAAGTTATTGGAGGTTTCTGATAATGTTGTAAAAGTATGATGTGTGGTTCTCAAACTATGACTCAAAAGATTATTTTTTTATCTTTTAGTTTTTATCTATTGGCAGTGGCGGCTCTACAGCTTTGAAAAAAAGGCAACTGCCTTAGGCCCCAAAATTTGAGGGGCCTCATTTTTTAAAAATACAATAGGTTATACATATTTTTTTTTAAAATATCGCGTATAATTTGTAGAAAATATAATTTTTTTCATAAAAGAACAAGGAAGTAATAGAAGATTGATAAATTATGAGTACTATGTCTCAAGAAAGATTAAATAATTGGCTATAATAAACTTCATAAAAAATATATATTCAAATTTAAGGCCTCTATTAGGATTTTGCTTTAGGCCATCGATTTATTAGAGCCGCCCCTGTCTATTGGCAACTAATTCCACAGTTGAAAAGGAGTGTATGTCAGTATCATGACAAAAGGAGTTTAATGTCTTATTCTATATAGAATAAGATTACCCAATTAAAATAGAATTAAAGAGCACAATATTCAACTTGACGTTTTCTCTTAGATCTTTTCGTGGTAAGCTCTCTATCTTTACGAGGTAAGGGTAAAATTTACACTTTGCGAATATTTTACCTTCTCCGGACCTTACTAGTTAAACTAATATTTCTTACAAGTAATAATACCAGAAAAACGTGGAGCCTCATCTCAGTATTGACATAAGATATATACTTTAAAAAATGTGTCAAGTCTTCTATGATTAAATTATATATGATGAAATCATTAGGTTAGGATTTTCTCCAGCTAAAATCTCAATTATCACAATTTAAAATCTTGAGAAGTCAACCCTTTTTTGGAGACAGTTAATGTTTTAAAAAAGAATTTTTGCATTGGTGAAGAGCAAAGGAGGACGGGATAATGAGAATTGAACTCAATAGCATGGGAGACTTCCACTAATATTACTAAACTATAAACCTTGACCGTTAAACCAAAAATATATGTATTGCATCACATAAAATCCAAAGGAGAAAACAAAATGTACACGTCCTTTCTAGATGTATAGATCATGTTCATGAATTAACGAAATACGGAAAAAAGCTCCATCTTTCATTGTCATTATATTGTTAATAACCAACTTCTCTCTCTTTGGAAGATTGTACACTTGACAAACAAGGCAATATGAGAAAAGTAAAAACAAACTAAACGTGCAGACCAACAAGATTATAATAAGAATATTAAGAGAAAAAAAATGTAAACACCAAGGAAGTTTCTTCTTAATCCAAGTCAAACATTTTGATCAAATCACTTAGAAACTTTCACCATAAAATGGAGAAACAAATTTTCACTACAAATCTACCACATTTTCCTTCTTGATGCATAAAAAAAAACATAGTTTTTTGTTATATGTTGATATGTATATTCTAGGCAAGATTAGTTATTTAACTAACTTTGTTCATCTTTTGATCATATTCATATTTTTGGTTCTTAGAGTGGATTGTATGAGTTTCAGCTACCAAAATTTCACCAAGACAAACGAAAACGATTTCATTGCTACTGAGCATTCCTACATAGCCGCTGATGCTATCCAAGTAACTCGCGATGTTCGTGGTGCTTCCATCAGTAATTTGTCTGGAAGGATATGGTATTCACATCCTATGAATCTATGGAACAGAAGGAAAAACAGAACAGCCTCGTTTAATTCAACGTTTGTGATCAATATCACACCTCAGACTAATCCATGGGGTGAAGGATTGGCTTTCATATTGACTAAAGAAAGTGGTACTGACTCAATCCCGGATAACAGTTATGGACAATGGCTTGGGATTGTGAATGAAAGTACTAATGGATCTTTCTCAAACAACATATTTGCAGTTGAATTTGATACAAGGAAAAGTTACCTTGATGATCTTGATGATAATCATGTTGGCATTGACATAAACAGCATCAATTCTGTCAAGCAAGTCTCGTTGATTGATCGTGGTGTTAACCTTTCACTAGCTGTTGATGTTATAGCAAGTGTCCAGTATGATGGAGAATCCAAGATCTTGAAGGTTTATACATTCATGAGCAATCAAACCGGAGACAATGAGAGAAATCCCATCATTTCCATGCCTCTTGATCTTTCTAGTTATCTCCCCGAGGATGTTTTCGTAGGATTTTCAGCCTCAACTGGGACATATAATCAGCTGAACTGCATAAAGGCATGGAATTTTACAAGCACAGATATTGGGAACAGTAATGAAGTTAGCCTGTTATGGTTGTGGATCTTGATACCAGTAATGTCAGTTCTTGTTATGTTCTTAGGTGGGGTTTTCGTATATTTCAGCTGGTGGAGAAAAAAGAAGAGGATGCAAGTGTTAGACCAATCTGAGAATATAGAGATTAAGATTCAGAATTCAGCTACTGCACCTCAGAGATTCCAGCTGAAGGACTTGAAACGAGCAACGGGGAACTTTGATCCGAAGAACATTCTTGGAAGAGGAGGATGTGGAGTAGTCCTCAAAGGGATGTTAGATCAAAAAGAGGTGGCTGTGAAGAGATTCTTTAATGATTCAAGTCAAGGGGCAAAAGATCTCATAGCAGAAGTCACAACTATAGGCAATCTGCACCATAAAAACCTTGTTAAATTGATAGGATGGTGCTATGAGAGCAAGGAACTCCTTGTGGTGTATGAGTTCATGCCAAATGGGAGCTTAGACAAGTTGATATTTTGCGAAGAAAACGGAAAAGGTTTGAGTCTGAATTGGGAAATAAGGTATGGTATCATCTGTGGGATTGCTCAAGCACTTGATTATCTGCACAATGGATGTCAAAAAAGAGTACTCCACAGAGACATAAAAGCCAGCAACATCATGCTTGACTCAGAACTCAATGCTCAGCTAGGAGATTTTGGATTAGCTAGGACAGTTCAAGTGAATGGAAAGACTCACCATTCAACAAAAGAGATTGCTGGTACTATAGGCTATATGGCACCAGAGAGTTTCCATATAGGCCGAGCCACAGTTGAAACAGACGTCTTTGCATTTGGAGTGCTAGTTCTTGAAGTTGCTTGTGGTCGAAAACCTGGAAATCGATATGAGGAGAACAATTATACTAACAGAGTCATTGAATATGTATGGGACTTGTACAAGATTGGAAGGATCATTGATGCCATAGATGTCAGATTGGATAGAGACTTCAATGAAGAACAAGCCGAATGTGTGTTAATATTAGGATTGGCTTGTTGTCATCCAAATCCTTACGAAAGGCCAAGCATGAAAACTGCTTTACAGATTCTTACAGGGGAATCAGTTCTACCAAACATCCCAACTGAGAAACCTGCATTTGTATGGCCAGCCAAAGCTCCATCGTCCAACGAAGCTGCTAGTGGCTCTCTCCTGGATGTCCAACTTACACAGATTACAGTACTCAGTGGCAGATGACTGCAGAGTATGAGGAACCTCAGCAAGGTTAGGTAACTCTTTAGGAGGCAAAAGATACCTGTAAATTCACATATGTAAAGGCATGAATGTCTCTTTATTTTTTTCTTTCTATGTATGTGGTGGGGAGTGGGAGATATCTTCTTCCGAGTGTTCGTTTTTCTGCATTATAAATAACTTTCTATTTAGTCAATGTCATAATCAACTTTACAAGTAAATACTGAAAACAAAAGCAGCAAGCATTGCAACAAAGGCAGCTAGCTACATGAGTTACTCCTACAAAACATACATGTTCTACCAAAATCACTAGAAGATCCATAATCATCTTCATGTTCTACCACAACAAGAACAGTTTCTCTGGATTGTTCATGTCTGCTACGTCCATCGTTTAGTACATGATCTGACTGGCAGAGTGCTAGTGCAATACCTAAATAGTACTAAAAGAAACAAACATTTTTGTGCTCAAATATGATGTCTTTAATTTTTGCCTTTGTTGTTCATTAGAACTTGACACTTAACCAATTTCCTATCTTTTTTGTGAACAATCTAGAGGTATTGAATTTTCCTCTACTAATTTTAATCAAGCTTAGTCTTACTTCATGAAAATTCCGAGCTAAAAATGTAAAGATATGACACATGGGTCAAACTCAACCTCAAAAGCTAGCTCATGAGAGGACGATTGCGTAAGTCCATATAAATAGACCGCCCAGTTCATTCCTCAACCAAGCTTTTGGAGTTGAATTAAGCCCATGTGCGATATCTTTACATGGTATCAGAGCCAATTTCATCCTGTTTGGCCTGAGCGTGAATGGGGTGTTGGAGTGGTTAAAAGTCTCACATTGGTTGGGGAATGGATTGGTGGACTTAGCAATCCTACCCTCATGAGTTGGCTTTTGAGGTTAAATTAGGCCCAGGTATCATATCTTTACTATAGACATAACATTTGATTCCGATAGAGCGTAAATAACTTAATGGAGAAGGGGAAATGAAAAATGTTTCTTAGTTGGAGTACATAAAAATTGAGACCAAAAGTATATATAAAATGAATCAACAAAGCTTTTTATCCATAATCCAAATCACAACATTTTTGAAATACAACTCTTCTACATAAAAATATGAATGGTAAATTGACTTTAACATGAACTGCTTGCTTTTTTTTTATTTTTTATCATACCAATGACCAAATATTTGAGATTGAAACAAAAATAAATCAAAAGGAAATACAAATGAGAAGCATATTATATGCAACCAATCGACGGGGAGCTGCTCTGGAAATGCAAGTTTGTATATTTCTTCAGTTATCTCTTACTCGACGTGCTGTATTTAGAAGCATTTCCTATGAACGATTGAAGGTCCAGATTCATCGTACTCTGCCTTAGCTATCCACATCTGTATCATTAAAAAAGAAATCTCGTAAGTAAATATCTTACGCGTCCTTCACAATTGTTCATCACATTCCTTTGAA